CGCACGCACGCACACACACACACGCGTCCCTTAAAAATTCCTTCCTGCCTAAATTCACTCCTCCCCTGACCCCTGTGCCTGGGCCCCCAAAAACCCTCAGAAGGACAGCCCAAGCAGCTACGAGTTGGCGAAGCGGACCGGCGAGGCCGTGACCCAGGCCTACGCTCGGGTCGGAGCCGCCACGTGGCAGAAATGAGGAGCAGGGGGCCATTGGCAGTCTCTACCATATAGTGCAGCTGTGCTGAGTTTGCTTTGACGAAATTCAGGTCAGCAAAGAGTTCGCGGAAAAGCGTGGCGCTCTTATCTCCGTGAATCCTCAGGAGTTGATTTCGGCGAATCTTCGCCAGTGAGCGCTGAGGACTCGGGCCTCTGCCGATGATCTGGAGAAGCTGCCAAGGAGTGGCTGCCAGGATTGTAAACTCGCAGACCGCAGGCATCTTCTTCGCGATGGTGGTCCTGACCAACTCCGTCTATCTTGGTGTCCATCTTTCCTGGAGCTCACAGAACCCAGAGCAGACCTCTAATTCGGTGTTCCTGACCGTGCACATAGCATATTCAGCACCTCGCCAATTCTTTGGGAGACTTTTGGCAGCTTGCGTTTCGGTTTTTGAGTGAGCCCACGAAGTTCGCGCCCAACGTGTTCAGGTTCTCTTCACGCTGGAGGCAGTGCTTCATTTTGTCGCTGTCGGGCCTTCCGCCTATATTTGCGCGGCTTGACAAACTTAAAATGACCAAGTTTTGACTCATTAGCATTCGCCTTCATTTCGGGAAACAATATCGGGCCTTTTGGGATGTTCTGCATCTTATGAGTGTTCAAGAGCGGCTCGGATTTGGAAGGGGTCATGTCGCAGTCAAGTCCCTTCTATCGGATTCTATCGTGGCTTGGCCAAGCGATGTGGCCATGTGACAACGATATCTGGACGAGACGGAAGAAGTTTTGTTTGCAGCTGAGGGCAGCAGTTGGGCCTGGAACTGGTTGGATTTGTTCGTTGTTACTTCCTCTTGGATCGAGCTGGCGGTTGATATCGTGTCCCCAGACCACGAGACTCTTGGAGCCAACAGCAACCTCCGAATCATGAGGTGCCTTGCCCACAGGTGACAGAGCAGAAAGGAGCTTCGTTCAATATGGTTTCCATTTTCGGAGCAGCGAATCGGGCCACCAGGGCTTTGCTAGTCATCAATGTGCAGGCTTGAAGGCTGCAGCTTTGGTGCGTGCCAGCGTTGGCTTCAGTAAACGTGTAGTTCAGCAGATTTCAGGGAGTATAGGTGTTCTGCGTGCTTGGGTGCAAGCCTCGAGCAGTGCATTGTGCGAGATTCGTGTCCAGAGGTCGCAAGTTGCAGCTGATATGCGCAGAAGACTTTTTTTGTTACCTTTTTCCCCGAGCCCGCTCTCCAGCCGACTCCAGTCCTGAGGCTGCTTCGCCTAGGCCGGTTGGTTCGTGTCGTGCGAATCGTCCGAGTGGTGAAGCTCTTCCGCGCACTACGAACGCCGCCTGGTGCTCTTCAGTGGCCAGTCCAAGAGCGATCGCAGTTGCTGCAGCATCCTTTCTTCTGTCTCAAGTCCTGAACCCAACTGCTATTCTCCAATGTGACAGCATGTCAATATCTCCACATACCTACAAGAGGAGAACCAGATGGCCATAGCAAGACTGCCAACGCCCTCGGCTGTGCACAGTCGCCACGGTAGTTTCCCGAAACCTGCTGAGGCTTGTGTACTCGCTCCTGGGGACACTGAAGTCACTGTTCTGGTCCTTCTTGCTCTTGATCCTGCGCCATGTTTGCACAAATCAGCGGCCACTTTAGGTGTGACCTGCCTTCATGGTGCGTCAGGATCATCTACATCTTTGGTATCCTCTTCACCGATGTTGTTCTTAACCATCTCTGGGAAGAGGCGGGGTGCAGAAGGAAAGGGACCTGTGCGTCCTGGGTTGCAGCTCTGCGGGTCCGATGCAATCCCGTCAGGGAAGAACCGCTGAAAGCGAAAACGTGCAACAATACTTCGGCACACTCTATGCATCCATCATCACGCTCTTCAGGCACAGTCTGGGGGGATTTCGTCACATCCCCTCAAGAGCAGGAGCTGTTCCATTACTGCTCATGAGGTCGATCTCCAATGGCATCACGTGGGAAAAAGCTGCCAACTCCCTGGAGCCCATCAGCACCTTCTGGGTCCAAGTGTTTCACTTTTACGTCGCATTTTGCAGCTTTGCGCTTCTCAATGCCATTCCGGCATGTTTGGGGCATGGGGTCTCGGGCATCTTGTGGGCCTGCTGCAGTCTTCGGGCTTCTCCTTCCTACTTGGTCGGCGGATTAAGGGTTGCAAGTCATCTCTCAACTAGGCGGTGGCAGTGACGGCCGCGTTTGAAGAGCAGATAGGCGAGCCTGCTGCATGGATCCTCAAAGTGCGCATGACAGTCGTTCCTGTGCCTAGATCATGAGCAGTGATCTCCGAGCCGACTTTGTTCTCGGCAGTCTAGCATGGCGACGGCTTAAGTTTGCTCGTCTGCTTGCATCGTGCTTCTGCCCTTGTGCTGACTACGAGCATGTGTGAACTTGGTGTTCGAGGCATTGTCAGGCCGATGGTGTAAGTGTTCCTCGCGCCCCTCCCAGTGCCCGCTTCAAAGGCGCCAAGGCTGGCTTCTGTGCTATAGAATCAGAAGCATCATGGCCACTGACACGCAAGTGGTGCAGTGGCCACGAAGCATGCCGTAAAATTGGCCACGATCGCGGCTCTCGTTGATCTGCTGCGTTTGCCGTCGCAGCGTGGTCGCCACTTCCGCTCTGGAGTCGTGATGCTTGGTGGAGTGGTGATCTTGGGCCTTGCTAATTCCCATGATTAGGCAATAAACCTGCTTCTTGGTGCTTCCACCATGCGCCTTCAGGGGACTCTTGGCCTAAAGGAGATGCAGTGGATTAATGCTTGCTTGACTGCGGTTCGCTCGCTTCCTTACATCCCCATGCCGTTTGCCTGAACGCTGCCCCTTGCTATTTCGTAGGCAAATCTGCCGATGGCTGGGTCGCTATGGCCCACCTTCCAGCACTCCAGGAAAGATCGAGTCATGTTCGTCCTCTCGTCGCTTGGCTTGCGCCGCTCCCTGGTTGCTTGCGGCTCTGTCCGCCGGCAACAAGCATCTTGATGTGGTTTGTTGCTAGTTTGGTTGGCACCCTTTCAGATGGTGAAGTTGCACATTTTGCCGACCGTTCGGCGCCACGCCTCGAAAATTACAATGGATTGGCGTGGTCGAGCGACTGAACGCGTCGTAAAATGACACATTTTCGGCGTCACGCACAACCCTTCCCAGGGATTGGCCAGGTCAAATGTAAAAACGCAAAGTAGAGTGATTGGTGTGGTCGAGTGGTCGAGGGACTGAA